TCTATGATTAATTTATCAGAAAGAACCAAGTGGCTAATTTCCCCTAATTGAAATTTTCTGGCATGATAAAAAAATTTCATATATAATTCCACTTCCACTTAAGTCCATTGTACTAACCTATTTTATTATGTGAAAGCAAACAAAACTACAGACTTCCATTTTCTGCTAATGAAACAAACTACATGAGTGGCAACAGAGAAAGTAGCAGAATGGATTCTTCTGAATAATAAGAAATAGGACCAGACTTACAGATCCAGTACTATGTTTTAAATACAAGCAAGAAGCCAGATTTTCAGAGAGCTTCACAAGCAAGTTTCACAAAGCTTTTGGTTTTAGGAGTGGGAGAAACCAAACTGCACACTCACTACACGAACTGGTTGGAACACGGCTCACTCAGATCAGCGAAGAAACATACTTTGAGATTGGAGGAGGCTTTAGGAAAAAAAAACACATAACAACCTAAGGCCAAGACTGACTGTCAATGTAGCAATTCTGAAATATTTGACCTGATTGTTTATACCTACATTTTAAAGTATTTCTGATAAACTAAGTGCTCTAAATTTTTAGGAAAAGGACAGTTTGCAAGGAGAAGTAATCTTTTTACTCAGACTGCGATAGTCAGATACAAACACAGAGAGAGAGCAAACTTCACGGTAAAGATAGACAGGAAGAAATTGCTCTGAATTAACTTTGCTAGGTAAATCAGTTAAAAAATTTGGGGTGAGGGGGGGGAAAGGGTACCTGACATCTGCAACAGTGAAGGAAACTTGCAAGGAGAGCAGTAATGTGGGTCTTATCCAGAACAGCAGTTACATGTTTCCTTTGGGCCATGAAGTAGCATGTGTGTGGAAAATATTGATATATGGTCAATGTCAATGTCTCCATTATATCCATGTTATTTCTGCCCTGTCATTTTTGTTCCTGGGATTGTCTTCTCAGAATACTTCTAAAGACTTTTCTGATGGTCAGGACAGCAACCACAGGTGGTGATTACTTTGTTTAAAGCTTCTGCTAATTCTTTCTATGTTTTATTGCTTGTCTATTTGAATTAATTAATGTATGTAGTAATTTTTTGATTTATTTATTCGCATGGTTCACTTCACATAGTCCTCATACAGGCTTTTGGTTCATCTTTGGCTTAGATAAGACAAAAGTTTACAAAACATGGATATTGATGGATCTTGAGCAGAGGTATCAGCTCTTGAACCCAACATACAGGTGCATAGCACTTCTGAAACTTGCTGCAGAGCATCTCAGCTTGGCAGCACTGGAAAAGTGAACCGCTACATGATTCTCTGAGGGCTTCCTAATGAGTTGCTGGAACTGGAACTCCATATGCCTGACTCCAGATCTCACACCATGTCTTTTGTACTGAAAATTATTGCTGTTGAATAGATTTATGATACACAAACATTTCTTGGCTAGAAAGTAGAGTTGTTCTTTTTTTTAATACACTTTTTATCTGTCACAGGTTTTACAGGTTTTAAAACTCATGCAGAGAAATTTTACAGATTCCACTTCTTCTCTTCCCTCCTTGGAGGCCTGGTCTTCACAGAATTAGCCCTGGCTAGTAGCTTCAGATGCAGAAGAGGGTCTGAACAGTCTTGATCAGAGCTGGGAGCCAGAGGCCCCCTGTCCTGTCCTGTCCTGTCCAGCCACTTCCCCAGCAATGCAGCAGTACAGCGCAAATGCCCTGCCAAGGACGCGCAGCTTTTTGGAAGAAGAAAATAGTAATAATCTACAGCAAGTCAGTGTGGCAGTTCATCGATCAAGGCTCGGTAGCAGTTCCCCTGCAGGTTTGCTAGGCAGTTACCAACAGATGGCAGTACTGCACTGAAGATTCGGTATCTGTATGCGGGCGTATGGACTTCTTTCCCCTGCCCTTCCCAAGGAACTTCAGAATGGTTACTACCTTGTTTTGAATTCCTCTCATTCCTCGCAGTGTTCAAGGCCAAGCTGGAGGGACTTTGAGCAACTTGGTCTTGTGGAAGGTGTCCCTGCCCGTGGCGGGGCTCTGGAATTAGATGAGCTTTAATGCTCCTTCCAAACCAAACCACTCTATGATTCTATAATGTCTTGTAAAAAGCCAGCCAAAATCCCCGTAACACAGGGAAGCTAAGAACATAAACTGTACTATGGTGGGAAAGGGAAAACCATTTCCAATTATGTCAGATGCATGGTCCATAATAGAGATATTTTCTCTAAGTTTCTTATTACCAGTAGCTTTCCATCTATGAAAAAGGGAGCCAGCAGTATAAATGAGAATTAAGCCACTCTATTTTAATTAACTGGTATTCTAAAAAGAGTAATGGCAATAAGTCTGAAACACAGGTAGGAAATAGTCTATCTCAGAGACACAAAAATTGTCAAACTAGAGCTTTTTTATATTGGAATTACATTAATAATTTTACTAAGTAAAATAATAGTTCTGTGTAATATATTACTGATCTGGAAAGAAAGCAAATATCAGAAAAGGGAGCAGCAAAATCTGTAGAGGACAAGTTCTTTATATTAAGTTTAGAGAGGACTAGAAAGAATTTCAAAAGACCCAATTACTCAACATTATATGGACAGACTAATGGCATGCAAAACTCAGTTTTGGTTAACTACAAGTATTGTACTATGGAAGCAAAGAAAAGGAGTTATATATATCATTCACAGCATTCTAAAAAAGTGTATCAGCTTAGAAAATGGGCTGAGGTCATGTTTAGCTGTGGCCAAAACAAGTAAATGAAATGTTGGGATGCATAAGGAAAGTGATAATAAGTAAGTTGAAGAATGTTAGAGCAAACTGGTACTGATATCTTCATCTGGAAGGTAGTGTAATGATACAGTCTGCAAAGATCTTGATACAGGATACTGCACAGCTAGATGAAATTAAAAGAAGGATGAGAAGAATGAACTGGACCAGTAAAAGGGCAAACTGAAAGCAGCTTAGTTTTTTACCCTTAAAATGAATCAGGCCTAAAAGGCCTGTGATAAAAAAAAAAACCAAAACATAAAAATTACAGAATCTTACAGAAAATACAGATTTTGAACTAAAGTCCTTGCTGAGGAAATTTGTTGTAAAATGCAAAAATAACAATAAAATATGCTTTTAAATATATTATAAAACCTCTTGTTAAGTGAAATCACAGAGACCAACAATTTCATGAGATTCAGTGGTTAAATTGTTACCAATAATAACTCAAAAGTAGATTTCTTTGAATAAAAAATTGTTGGAAGTATATAAAAATTCCATGCTTCAGGTTTTTAACATTCAAAACACGTTTAATAGTAAGTTGAGATCTCGTATGTATATCAGATTATTATTATGAGTCTTCTACAGCTTTCTCCGAATCATCTGCTAATGGCTTCTGTTGGAAACTATACATTAGGCTAAATGTATATTAGCTGAACAATTCCCATATCTACACAGTACAAAATTTCTGCAGTGATCATATTTTTAAATTATACTGAAATCACAAACAGATTCCAAGCCTGTGCAGAGATGCATTTCAGTAGACCTAACAGTGGCTTCCCAATTTGCACATTATTTACCCTAGCAGGCTACTTTCTGGGAAAAGAAAAGGGAAAGGGAAAGGAAAAGGGAAAAGGAAAGGGAAGGGAAAGTATATAGGTATATCTAAGTGATGCAAACCTTTACTTTCCTGCAGAACAGCCAGCAATGTCTGTGTTCTTTCCTTGAATATGCAACTGCTTCAAATCCTTAACAATACTACTTGGCTTCTTAGCTATCATATTTGGACTCCTCAGCATCCAACACAAAGCTTCAGGCTGCATTAACATGCTGCTTTTGGTATGACTGAAGTTGTTCACAGTCTGTCCCAAAATTGTTCTTGCTCATTTTGGGCTAACTTGATGGAAGACCCATGGAGATGAACACTGCATAAGCAGTTAACATCTCTGTAAATACCTACTAGGGAATACACACGGAAAAGAACCCCAATCTCATCCTTTCTGAAGAACCTAGTATTTCCATGCTTCAGTTATCAGCTCATAAAATGACTGTAATGCTAATGCTTTACATGAATGGTGACTAGTTAACCAACATTTCTTAAAGTCCTGAAACCTCAAATTAATAGGACTCTGGAGTATAAAGACATAATATTATTTCACTGAGCATTTGTCATTTTAAAAGCTCTATGCCTAAAGCTTTAATCAAACTGTACGATGGCAGCAATTTTCTTTTTTGTCACATTTGGGTCTCTTGTCTCTGCTAAGATGTATGTGTAGTTAAACTATGCATTTCTTTTGAGAGGAGCACTTGGTATTACCGTTTATGTGACCACAGCAGCCAAACCTAACAGCAGAATCCTACACTTGAGAGAGGTGCATAGTTGTTTTAAGAGTTATTTTTAGAAGATATGTTTTCTGAATGAACAAATTGTGACACTATATAACTTCCATTAGTACAGAAAAACATCTCCTCTTCAGATAACTATTGTTTTGTAAAAGCTACCACATCACAGTGTCTCAGTTCTAACAAAACCTGCTATTTTTTTTGTTACATGAAACAATTACTGGCTACCAGATTTAAACATGTTTTGGTAGCATAGGAATAAATTAATCTTGGGTACGATTTCTCTATACACAATGGATTTTAACAAGGCAGGAAATAAATTTATAATACTACAAAAATCAAGGGTATTCTTAGAATAATGAGCAAAGAGCTATGAATCTTCAGTAATGTCCATGGCTACAGAAAAGCTATCAGAGGCTTTAGCAGTGGCCAAGAACACTTGAATAGTAAAAAAAAAAAATCACTTCAGATATATGTCTGTGTAGCTTGAGGCTGAAATTTCATGGTCATTTGGCAATTGTGCCATAAACATTAATAAAGGAATACAGCTTACTTCAATGGCTGCAAAATCGGGCCCCATGCAATAGTTTTTTCAAGCTGCAGGTGACACTGTAGAGCATCTGACTGCTTACTTGGACTCCAGTGCCCATGCAAAAATCTTTTTCTTTTCCAAAAGACCTCTGGGGAAAACAAACAAACAAACAAAGATAACAGCAGAAGACTGTTACTCAAGCCTCATCTTGCGGCTAAGCACATAGCATCAAGAACATTACTGCATGTACAGCACAAGCAGCAGTGCAAGCTGAGGGCACAGCTGCTTTTAAAAGGAGTGGGACTACTCCTTTTAAAAGTAGCTGAGATTTCTGCTCCATCAGAAAGACTGTGTGACGATGGCCTGCAATTGCTCAGGTTCCACACAGGGCTGGTTGTGCTAACACAAGCAGATCTGAGCACACATATTCTTTTTGTATATTCTGCGAAGCCAACTGTATGCAGAAAGGTTTTTCTGCCTTTCTTGTGTAATCAATACTGACAGGTAAATTCCTTCTGACATTACATATAAACTTCACCCAATCTCTCACAGTTCAGAGTTTTTTTCCCTTTACAAGCAAAGAAGCTGAAATTGGATTATTACTCTGAACAGCAGTGGTGCCTCCTCTGATTTTTATATTACATTCTGTTTACAATTTCGGTAAAGATCTATTTACTAGTTGTCAGCCTGCTCCATTTAATATTAAAAGTTACTGTTTCTGACTTCAATATGAAAATTAATAAAAATTCAGGAAGTACAATTAATAATTCTGCTAATGAAGCGATGGTCAGGAAGTTTACTCTTTCATAACTGTATTAGTGGTGACATTAGCTGCCAGACATACTGGCAGGAAAAAATACTCATCTAAAAAGAAAGCAAGCAGATTTTTCTTTATTTTTTTATTTTCCTCATGGAAGGGTAGCGAAGTTGTTAAATTATGTATCCCTTTTGATAGTATTCACAGGGAAAGCATTTGCCAAGTTCTCAGAGGAAATCATCGCACCAGCCTGGTTCGCAGGTCCATGATCAGCCATCCTTGTCTTGTTTTCGTAAAGGTGAGGCCATCAGTTAGGTAAAATATGGTTCCACTCGAAACAATGGGAAATTAATGTTGATGTTAGCAGAATTATGTCAGTTCCCATAACTATTACTTTTTCAGGTAATTGTTGTATTTATTATACTCTGTATTAGCATTAAATATTATTTTTATAATTACGTGTAATTACGTAAATATTACACGTACTTATTTTGCACATAAACCATGCAATAGAGAGGAAAGGTCTTAAGACATACTATTTAAAGATGATATTTATTCCCATATTAAAAATACTTTAACAATGGAAATGGTTTAATACAGACATTTAAGTTACTTTGGTTTCTAGAAAAAATACATTTTTTGCAGTCATAGAGTCTGATCTACTCCTGCTAAGTTTAATACAAGATTGCTGCTCATACTAGAAGCCGCAGAACCAAGCTCTTAGAATACATTCTTTTAAAATACGGTTACTACTTTAAATGTTCATAATTGCTGCAGTGAATTGCATATATATCTGATGACTAGGAATTTGCAGTATCAAGTAAGAAGTGACAACTGTTTTAGTCACGTGTGTGTTAACTCAAAGTTCTAGCAAATTCTCTGTATATGATTTTTCAATTGTAAATCAAGTCCTGAATGGGAAGCAAAGACACCTTTAAAGTACCATTCACGTGGAATTTTTGGCAGCTGACCCACTGAAGTGGAGTTTTGAGACTTGTGCTTTGCACTGCTATCATTTCTGCCACCAGTTTCCTTCCTCCCCTCTTAGTGAGGTTCCTGCTGGGAATGTAACACACATCACTGGAGTAGGCAGCGATGTGCCAGCCTGCATCTGCTACAAAGCAGCCTAAAAACAAATCCCAATTGGACAATGCCATTTGGTGTAGAGCAGCACATAGTGTAATAATGTAAACCAGGCTGTCAGCAAAGATAAATGATTGTTCAGCTACCTGCAAAACAAATCTCGAAGTCTTAAAAAAAGTCAGAAACAATCCTTTGATATTCATTTATAAACATAGTCTCTCAAGATTTATTATTATTGCAATTTAATGAATTTGCATCAGTGAAAGCATAATGAGAACGTCTCATCAAAATTTACTATTAATATTTTAAGAAATCAGCCCATTTTGCAGCTTGTTTCAGTTTAAGGAAGGTCTCTGGGAATGCAGATTTTGGTGTAGAAGATCTCTGCCCTTCAGGCTGATATTTTTTCCTGTGCAAATCAGATAAGCCCGATTCTTTTGCTGGTATCTCTTTTAAAATCCCAGTTCCATAGATGGAATCTTTTCAAAAGGATCTATATGTTAATGTTGTTCTTTTTACAGATTGTTTGAAATACCTGCCTGTGTTTTTTTTTTCTTGTGTGTATTATCAGACTCCTTGAGTTTAAAAGAGTATGATCATGCAGAAAGTGCAAATTACCACAATCCAAATAATTGCAGACACTTACAGATACAACTTTGTACCTCATCCTTCTTGCTACCATGCAATTTTGCTGGGGGGAACCTCTCCAGATCTTTCAATTTTTGAGGTTTTCAAATTACTATTGTACTGGATTTTGAGGCTATTTACTATTATTATTATTACTAATTCATAAATTGCTGACCTTGAAACAAATGCCCACATTTATTTTATGTAAAATGCAACTGCAGCTAGACACAGACTGGAATAATACTAAGTGCAGATCCTGGGCCTTTGCTTGGTAAATGGATCTCACTGCAGGATCAGCACTGTGATTTTTAAATTAAGTAAAAACATGATCAAAGCTAACAGGCTTTAAATATGTTCTGTTATTGCTACTATAGTTACAGATGGAAATCCCCAAATTACATGTATGACACTGTACAGCTGGAGGAATGATCTTTACAAAGATTCCTCTTTATATATTTTCAGAAAAATTATTACAAACTCTTAAAAACATAGGGTATAAAACCACTACAGTTGGAAATTCATTCTTATTATGTACTGTACTGGTTTGCCAATTCCACATGCACAAAAACCACGAGAGTGTCCCAAAGTATTTTGAGCCTGATTTTTCTCAGGAAACAACCATTCCTAGAACTGAGATGAAGCAAAACATGAACTTGCAACCAGAAGGCCAAAAGTAGCAACTCTGAGAGTTATTTAATCCATATGAGGAGAAAAACACAACTCCTGACAAGGACAAATATGCCTAATCCTCAAATCCTGCTTTTCTGTAACCATGATTGGGGTCACCCTGCATACATAGCCAAGAGTTTGTTAGTTGGCACAGGGGTCATGCTCATACAATTGTGGGTAATTACACCAGGAAATAGCAAATCCTGTTATCTCAACAACTCTACAGATTACTTGTTCTCTAGAAACAATATTGAGTAGATTGGTTGATAGAGATACATACTGTACGTTTTAATCTAAGAGCACAATAATAGATGGTTATCAATACTTTCATGATTATTATCTGATACAGTTTCTATGACAGGACAGAATTGTCTGCGAATTTGTACAGAAGAGAAAATACTTGGATCTGCATTGTGTCCCCAGCTCAGAATGCTACTTATAAGCCCCAATACTTCTGCAGTTTGTTTACCATCTTCTTCTATTTGTAGCCTTTGTTATGGTGAAAACCAAAGATAAATATGACAAATCAACTCTGTATATTTTTATCAAATCAATCTTTGTAAAACCAGGTAATTTATTTATTTGTCATAGTATCTGTAGTAACAATTAAAGATCAGACAAATACACGTGCACCTGTGCATATACATGAGCATTTCTTTGCATGCTTCAAGGTTGTCTTTGAGCTGGATAAAACCCAATTACTAGCTAGCATTAGTGAAATATCAAAAGTGATGTGCTTATCATTCTATATTACCTTTATTTCATATTACGGTAGCATGTATTTAGCTTTCTTAGACGAGGCTATGCGTAAGCTACTCTATTGTGATAAATTCACAACAGGTTCCCTTACTAATTAGTTCCTTTACTAATTAGGTTTTTCTTTATTTCCTATATGATTATGCATTTCAATCTCTTTTCTTCTCCTTTATCTTTTATGCTAAACCAAAAATCTGTCAGCTACATCACCATGTCTGAAATATTCTCCCATTAAAAAGGAGGAAGAGTATACTCTATCATATTATTTATTGACTTCTCATTTTCTAACTCTTGCAATGGCAAAGATCCTTGAGAAGTATACAGAGTGTATGACACTCAATACCACTAGCAAAGCTTAACTTTGAAAGATCTGTATCTTATCACATCATTTCCTCACTTTAGCTCTTGGAATTCAAAAGAAAACTAACATATGCAAAATTCAACAACAGAAAACAACTGCTGTATAGAATTTGTATGGCATACAGATTGCTTTATTACTCCCTTATTTTCTAATAGCTGTTGTCTTGATGTTGTATGCCTAAAAGGATCTAAAGGATATATATTTGGGTTACAGTATCTTGATCCACCAGTGTGAAATAAAATAAAAAAAAAATGCACCTGTAGGTACTGTTTATCTGCTTTGAATTATTTAGAAGTGCACACACAATGCTGAAAACTATCTTCCCCTCAAACTTCAATTGTTGCTACCACAGGGCTGTTGTCTCAGTCCATTGTGCTGACATAGGACAACTCACACAAGAGTTGCATACTGCATGTGCACTTCTTGTGGGACTGATGTTTTGTTTCCTGCCTCTCACACCAGGGAGAACTATGATCTGATAGATTGACACAGGCCTGGTAGCTTTTTACACCTCCTTTTACAGTACTGCAATTGATTAGATGTTATACAAAAGATCTGGGAACCACAGCTATCAATTTCAACAAGGCTATACCAAATTTATATTAAGGACACATGAATTGGGACCTTTGGAGCCAAGTGACAGTGGAAAGGTCTGCATGTGCCTCTTAAAACATGGAGACATAGTAATCGAGACAGCGGATGCTAAGAGCATCTTTAACTTGCCTATTCAGACATAAAGGGCATCTATCTCCCTTAGATGCCCTGGCACATTTGGAAGATGGTGAAGGATGTAAAATTATTGTGAAATGCCTCAGAAATAGCTTCTGGTAGCCCTTAATGCAAACAAATACCCAACAGAGGAATTTCTGGGCTGTGAAGAAGGCAACAGTAGATTGAACCGTAAATGTTCTCAGACCTGCTTCTGCATCCCTGGCATGTGTCCAGCGGTATGGGATGTTTGCATCTGATAACTCAGCCACTTGTATATCATTTTGATTAAGGAAGCTTAAAAAGCAAGCAAACGAACAAATCATCACTGCACACCGCACCATCAGCTTTAATTTAATGATGAGGAGAGTGAGCTGCTCAAACCTGATGTCAGGTTTCTTAAGGAAAACCATGCCCAGGAGGTGGACCACAATGCAAGCAAACTAAATACCCTCTTGGCAGCAGTTACAGAGAAAGTATGAAAGCACCAGAAGCTGACTAAACAAATCAAGAACCTGAAACCAGCCAGAGGTCAGCTACTCTGGCTTTCCTGCTGGAGCCAGAGGAAGATGGTACACAGCCAATCAAGGATTGCTAGCTGCACTGGTCCTTGGAAAATAGAAGAGGCTGAGTTGCCAAGTTTTAGTAGCTAAGTCCCACTCTTCTCTGTCAACATCCTGAATATCTTCTGAAGCACAGGACAGACAGGTGGCCAAAGCTCCGTTGTGGCCAGAGACTAGCTCATAGGCATCTCACATTTCATGATGTCACCAGCAGACCTGGACTGGTTTGGACAGGACACTCAAAAGAGGCTCTGTATTGAGGGGTTTAGCAGGAGTCATTTATGAAGGAAGCTTTGTCAGTCTCTTATTTTGTTGTTTCTGAGAAATGCTTTCCTCTAAGTGGATTGCTTAAATCCCAGATGGGGCATTTCAGTATTTCTGTAATCACTTAAGAAACTCTAGAGAAAAGACTAGTTCATTTGCATGCCATGCATGCATCAGATCACAGCTTTATCTACTACACTTTTCTGTATGTTATGAAGTAATTTAGTTTCGTACATGACTCACATGTTTCTGTTATCCTTCTGTTCAACTTACTTTCATAATTCCACATTCTCCATTACAACATTATTCCTTATTGGTCAGTTTGCCATGGTACAAAATAATCCGTATAGGCAAAAGGTAATAACAGTACCACTAAGGCAGTGAAATTCAGTTGCCTTTGTTACAGTGCCCTAACAGAAACTAAGGCAATGCAATAGCAATTGGTCTCCTGGATCAGTCCCCCTGTGACAATCCAGTGCTGCAAGAACTACCACATGGAAATTCTTTACCATTTAGGCTTATTTCTAGACCACTTCAAATATTTATATATATCTTTAGAAATATTTTTATGTCTATTTATATGAACATAGACTCATAGAATAGTTAGGGTTGGAAAGGACCTTAAGATCATCAAGTTCCAGCCCCCCTGCCATGGGCAGGGACACCTCGCTCTAAACCATATCACCCAAGGCCTCGTCCAACCTGGCCTTGAACACCGTCAGGGATGGAACATTCACAACTTCCTTGGGCAACCCATTCCAGTGCCTCACTACCCTCACAGTAAAGAACTTCTTCCTTATATCCAATCTAAACTTCCCCTGTTTAAGTTTTAACCTGTTACCCCTTGTCCTATCACTACAGACCCTAATGAAGAGTCCCTCTCCAGCATCCTTACAGGCCCCCTTCAGATACTGGGAGGCTGCTATGACTTAAAATAAATAATTCAGAAGTCACCATTCATATAGTAACATATTTAGTATAGACCATTAAAATAAGAATTGTATGTCCAACATTAGACACAAAAAAAGTCAAATCCCGTTACCCAAAATACACGTAACACCTTACTGCAACCAGTCGTACCAGGTTAAACAAACAAAACATAATCTGGCAGGTGGCCTCTAATGACAAACAATTAGTATAAGGGATACTATTTTTCTATACCTGTTTATGTTCTAGAATTAATTATAAATTTTGTTTCACTTCTTTAATAGTGTTTAGACTCTATGATATTAGAAGCCCTAAATACCCTATTTAATAAGTTAGGTCAAGTATGTAGAATTATATTTTACTCTTAGTTACATCCTTACAATGAAATACAGTTAAATGCCATATTTATTTTTAAGTGGAAAAAAAAACACCACCAAAACCCAAAAAAACAAACCAAAACCAACAGAAACCAGTCTGGTTCTCATTCACACATTTACAGCATATCTGTTTTATAACAGTCGTCTCAGATCTAGTATTACAAAATATCAACAACAGTTCTTTGTCTCTCACAAATATTCTCTCAATACTTCCATGCATGCTGCATACTTTGAACACTTCCAAGCCAGCTTCTAATGGCTAACTAATAATGAATTCATAAACACTTGCTAGTCATCAGAATAATTTTTTTCTTTATAAAAACCTCTCCAGAATTTAGATGGCCAAGGAAACTGTTTTACCACAGCTGGCTGAGAAGTACATTTTTGTGGTTTTGCAAGCCGATTCCTTTTTTTGAAAGTTTTCAAGAAAACAAGCAAAATAAGATCCCAGACATCTGAATCACCAGACATTCAGAAAACATTATACGTGTGTTTGAGTAGTTGACTTCCTAAAGCAAAAATATGAAATGCCAATGAACATTTTGTGCATGCAGTTGGGAAAAGTCCATTCCTGTGCCCGTCTAGCTGGTTAAAACAGAATTTATTTCAGAGGCTACTCCTCCCCTTCAGCACAACTGGAAGAGAGTTTCTTAGGCAAAAGAGCAATTTAAAAACAAACACATCTTCTCCTTCATCTCTGGACTAGGGACACTGACCTTAGAAATATGCAAAATTCTTCCACTGCCTGCAAACAAAAATGGACTGCAGGCAGTCATGATCATGTGTCACTCTTACAAAACATTCTTACTCATTAGCTACTTTTTGGAAAGGTTATTTGCTGTCAATCAAGTGATAAGTTCTGCTTATAATAATGGTGATGACATCAGACCCACAGAAGAGAAGATTAGTATGGGGAGTCTAAATATATAAAGCAGAAGGTCATGGGACACATCCAACGTCAACTGAAGTTAATGGCCTCCATTCACTTTGATCAAAACTGGACTGATCCATGCAGGATTAAGAGATTTATATATATATATGTGTGTGCGTGTGTGTGTGTGTTTATTTTTCTTATAGCTAGTATCATTGGCTTACAGCCTTGGATTTTTTAAGGTGACCTATATCTTTGATTTGTCTTACAAGAAGAGGTGATTGTCCCTGTTCTCTTTTTTAGGTGGCCGTACATAGTCAGTCATGTTCACTGTTTCCAAAGTTGGAGTTATTCTGCGGAGGTAATGGGCAAGAATTTTTTCTAATCAGCAGGTTTAGGGCTCTAACCTTGCATTTCTTTTGCCATTTGGTAGTATTTACAAATAAGGTGGGAGAGAGACCAGTACTCATTTTAAGCCTCAGGTTTGACACAATGGTCAGTCAAGGTACTGAGGGGTATAAAGCACAGGTCAGCAGCTTTCCTGTCAGGCAGCAAATAACTAAATTTCACTTGTCTGAGATAGGATTTTAGTTGTCCAGGGCTGCAGGACAGAAGAACTTTTCTCACCCTGACAGCTGGAATGGATGATCTGTGAAATGTATTTTTAGAAGTCATATTTGCCTAAGTGTATGCTTGCATTGTCGAACACGCAGACAGCAAGAGGGAGTTAGGCTACCAGCCATGAGGACCGTGACATACTGTACAAACTGTATAACATAGCTAGAGCTAAAGCTGCATTTTTGTTACTTCTCACCCTCCAACTGCAAATATACAGTCCAAATATTAATGCAACACTACTGCTGTTCTTCCTGTACTTCAACCATCCCATCGCTACAGCATTCACACTAGTTAGTAACCACAAAGGGGAAATCGCTGCTGGTACAATAGGACATTAGTGATCAAACCTATTTTCAAAAATCACCCCAGTTTTTCCCACATTTCCTTTCCCTAAATATATCCCTATCTGATTAACAGAAACAACAACCTCTTGTAGATTAGCCTTTTCCTTTAACAAGACAACGCACTCTTGAGGGATTTTATTACTAACATTCATCCTCCTAATCTTATCCCACACCTTGCCGATACGCATTTCCTTATTAACATTTGCACATGGCTATTGTGCCAGTGCTGCTTTTTTTCCAAGCTAATGATTTCCTCCTCCTACAGCCCATGACATCAAGTTGCAGTCATAGTACATTTCAAAGCTGGTTTCCTCTCTCCCTAAACAACATTGTTACATTTTTTGTTTAAACAGTGCATTGGTTTCCTTCCCCTCCTATTCAACAGAAGTCATGGAAACCACATTTCACATACATGTAACATCACTATGAAAATCATAACTGAATACCTCTAGTCTATGCTGATTTACATATGGTTTTACTAGTTAATCATACCACCAGCTTTCAAAAATATTTAGAATTACAAAATAAAAAAATCAGACTGTTGAGTACAAACATAGTATTGTAAGCATTCAGAAAAAAAATTTCAATGTCATGATAGCTATACTACATACTTTCTTGTCCTTAAGAGTTTCCTCTTTACTCTGCATTATGTACTTCTACTGTACTGAATGTTTTCATACCCTGTTTATATTAAAAACTGTGAACTTCCTACTTATTTCTCAGTCTGTCTTAAATATTAGCTTTAAGGCTAGGATTCTTACCAGTCTTCTGCATCTTTATGCTCTTAATGTATAAACTTCATCTGTAATAAAATTCAAATGAAATGTCTTATCTTTAGAGGCAGAATGTGTTGAAAGTTGTTACACAGCACTGTAAAAAAATTATAACGTGTAAATAAACCGGGCAAGTCAAATAAAAAAATATGCTTATTGTGTGTAACTCCACTGAAAGTGCCAACAGAACCAAATTGTGCACAGATCCACGGAATACAATTAAAATCACTAGGATAACAAAATAGGGAACGGATTTAGAGACCTCCTGATAGCGTGAAAGGACATGTTTGTGTATTGCGTTGTATTGAACTGTAAGACTAGGTTGGTAGAAAAAATTTCTGCCTGTGAATACAGTATGCTTTAGTCAGTGTGGCTTGTGTAGTTTTGGGATCTATTGGTAAAACTGCATGTTGGTAAAACAGCTTTGTTAGAAAAAGTTCTGGTGGCTGGCTATCAGCTACTGCAACATAATTTGTCATCAATTCATCATCAGGAGATTGGTGTGATCCTATGAGCACCATATCATGCCCTGCATATGACCAAGAACCACAAGGTATTGCAGCTTGGAAGCAGAAGGGTTTCTGCAGGTGGGAAATGTCCATGGCTCACCAGAGATTCTAGATTTCTTTTTGGACAGGTCTGGACTGGACATGCAACAAGACTTATGTGCGAGGGGTAATGTTTGCCTTAGTTACTCCTAATGGTTTCCTATGACTGTTCCAGACACTGCTCTGCGCTGCTGTGTGATGCAACCTCAGCACAAGAGTAAGACCTCAGTTCCTGGATATCTGCTTGGAGATAAGAAGCTCCAGACTGGCCACCCTGCTTCCCAAGGATAGGAAATGTAAGTACTCCTAAGAATACATATCTGTCTAGATGTGTTAATCTCTCTCCATTCCTTGAAAAAACCCAAACGAAAAAATGAAGGCATTTTGTGAGCTTTTTCGGTCTTCTTTTAAGGTGTAGCCTCAGTATCTGGCCTCGGAGGAAGGACAATCCATCCCAGTATTTTAATTTCTCTTTCCCTTCCTTTCCAGTTCCTTCTGATTTCCTCTAGACTCAGTTCTTTCACTTCATACCTGTACTTCCTTCCTATTAAAAACCTGTTGAAACCTTGTTGGAGTAATTTTAACCTTTTTTTAAGTCAATCTTTCATCTACCATTTAATTAAAAACATAAAAGAAAGAAAAAAATAAAAAAAAAAAACAAACAAAAAGAAGAAAAAAGGCACCTTCTCCAGCCCTTTACTGCACTCTGCCAGTACAAAAAATACTCAGATATCCCTCCCTCTTGAAGGAGCCAACAATACGGCAGCCTTCTGTTCGGTCGTGTCTTCCAAGTATTTCCTAGGTATCTCTTAATTATAGGACTAAATTTACTAGGATGAGACATTAGCACACATGCAAGAATCAGAAAAGTTTGGAGGGAATACACTGATAAGAAGCCCAGTCTGCCAGCCACCATCTGTTATGAGAAGGAAACAAAGCCACAGATTGCTCCTAGGCAGCTCCCCGCAGACACTACTTGAGAACTATTTGTAGTCTGTGGCTAGAAGGTGTCCAAAAAATTGACAATTTCACTTCTTCCCACGGAGTTTTCTGATTAGCAACACTGAAACTGGTGGAAATTACTATTATTTTCACTTTATTAGTACCAGATCCAAGTGTGTAGGTTTGGGTTTCTTTGTGGGCGAATTAGAGCCAGATTAATGGATGCTTAGCCTTGCTGACAAAATTTTTGATCACATACATTGCAAAAAAATTTAACTACTCTCTTACTATTAGACGTTACCTTTTTTGTAACTTCTACCAGACATTTCTGTACATTATTAATTTCTTATTCCATTTAAAATGCAATATTATAAATAAGCCTCGGCAATAAAAAGTGTCCACTTTCTCCTAAGACAGGATTAGCATAAGACTATTCCAATGGAAAGGTAATTTGAAAATGCATTGTGTTGTACAGCAAACTCCTCTGCATAATATAAACCTGAGAAATAGTAACAAAGCAGTGTAAACACAGCAAAGCCATCATAGACTAGGCCTGTTTCTGAGCAATTCCCAAAGCCAGCAGCACCATGAAAATTATGCTCAATGGATCAATCTGAGATAGTTTTTGTGCATGTTACCTAATTCCCACATAACTCCGTTTAGCAGCAGTGTTGAACTCTGCAGTTACTCCAGCCAGTGATTTTGAAGGGAAGAGGAATACTGCGCTTTGCAGGTGCCACTGGGGATCTCCATCAGAAATTAGACTACTAAGGACGCTGCACCTGACCACAGAACAACAGAATGAGAAACCTCGTTGTTCTAAGCAGATATTAAATATTTACTGATTATTTTTCTTCCTTTTCCACTTCTGCCCTGCTCTGCCGTGCCGCACCCTCACCCCCCTGCGCCCCTCACAGCCGAGGCCCGTCCCGGGCGGTCCCTGTCACCCCCTCAACGGAATAACCCCGCCGCCCGCCTCGCCTCCTTTCGTCCCTTTACGCCACCCCTGTCCCTGGCGGCTCCACCGCCCCTTGGGTCCCGGTGCTGGCTCTGCCCGCTTTTTCCCCCACAGCCCCCTGCCCTTCCCTCACCCCTCCGCCGGCAGCCGCCCGCCCTCTCCCGCCTTCCCCTTCCCTCTGTCACTCGCGGCTCCGCCCGCCCCCTCGCCCGGCCCCTCCCCGGCGCCCGGCGGAGGAGCCACCGTTTCCGGAGTACACAGAGCAGGGCTGGCAGCGCGGTGGGGGTGTTGCGGGCAGGTGAGTGAGAGCTGCTGCTGAACCCGTGCTCCCGCGGCGGGGGCGGCCTTCCCCTGACCCCCCGGACAGGGCTGGTCCCCGACCGCAGCCCCACAACACGGCCGGCAGGGCCCTGGCGGTGCGAGGCACCGGGCTGGCATGGACGGCGCTACTGCCGCTCCTCCCTCCCCGGGCGCCGAGAGGCACGGGGCGCGGAGGAGAGCGGCCAGCGCCCTGAGGCCGCACGGGGGAGCGCCCCCAGGGCCGCGGCTGGGGGCACCGGCAGGGGGTGGGAGGAGCCGCCGGCGGCGCCTGCGGCGAGCCCCGGCCAGGGGGAAGACGGCGGCGGTGCCCCGGGGCGCGGCCCGGTGCTTGTCGCGGCGCTCCCTCAGCGGGGCCGGGCTGGCCCTGTGGCGGCGGGGGCAACTGCGGAGCGGGAGCGCAGCCCGGGGCGGTGGCGAGGCTGCAGCGGCCCCCCCCCCGTACCTCTCCTGTTCCCGCCGCCGTGACCCGAGTGCGGCAGCCCGGGGAGCGCGGCTGGGACTGCGCCTGCGGGAATTCCTGCGCACCTTCCTGCTAAATGGTGACCCGCGGCCTCCCGGGGCGGTCGGCCCGCTGCGAGAGACCCCGCCGCGGGGGCCTCGCCTCAGGGCTGCGCGGCGCTGTCCGGCCCGCGCGGTGAGGCGGCCCCCTGTCTGTGCGGGCCTCCCGGGCGGTGCCGGCGGGAGCTGCCCTTCGGGAGGGCTGTAGTGTCGGGCACCCGAAAGCGCAGCTCCCCGCGGTGGGCTTTCTTCGCCCCCCCCCGGCCCGAAGGCCTGTGGGCAAGAGTGTCTCCTTGGCCACTGCAGTGGGTTGCGCTTGCACGGTTGTTTCACCTGATGTTGACTGGGAGTGCTGTTTGCTGTTACCTAGCCTTACGTTTAATGCGATGTATCCTAATGGTAATCACAAGAGGGTAGCTCGTTTTGGGCTGTAGCTTAAAACTTCACTACCATCTCTTTTCCCAGCTTGAGGGGTTTTATCGTTTGAGTGGGGCAGGTGTATATTCATCAGGTGGATGTTGGCTTAGAAATTTGAAAGGAGTTAAAAGATCTCATTTGTTTTATGTGAGATTATAAACCTTGTTGCAGGTATAAATCAGCCACTGTTATTATTGGGTTTAGAGAGGAATAGATGTTGGGATGTCTTAAGGAGCAGCATACATCAGGTGTCTGTAGTCACAGTTCACTGCTTGGCTTTTAAGAGTCCGTCAGCCTGTGGCTCCAGAGGTGTATGCAACTGGCAAAAGGTTGGGGCTTGGTTCCCAAAATGGCACTGCATCTTGTAATGGCGTGTGTGGCTGTTGAATAATCTCAGATCAAGATGCTGGGGAAAATGTTGCTGTCAGTTTTCTCACGTCAGTGCTGTCTTGCAAAGGGGCAGTGGTGCTCTTGAGGAACTGTTGTTTTCTATGGACAAAGGGTGACTGAAGTTCCTGAGGAATGCTTCCCTTCCCTCACCTCTCTGAGGTATGAGTCGCATAGCTCCTGGCCCCATGAAAGTTTTGGTATGCAGCTCATGGGATCAGGAGTGTTGGCCTGTCTTGGTATGTTCATAGGTGCTATTTGTGTATCACGGGAATCAACTCAATTTTGTCTTCTAGTGGGAAACATTTCTACAGAAGAGAAGCTGGACACTTCTTTTGTACAGAATTGCTGGTTTTCCAGTGCAAGACTTGTACAAGGTTTTCTTCTTTTATTTTCTGTTATTTTCCCTTCTAGAAGGAAGGACTTCATCTAATCTGTAGTTGTGAACATGTCAACATATATGTTTCTGCAGCTTTGTGAAACCTTTAGGGAGTCAGGAACGGTGTAGGAAGCAGCACGGAGCCACTGCTTTCCATGCATCTAGTGGTACTGCTTCCGAAGTCAGTGTAAGGCATAAATCCTCTTGGTTTCTCATTCTGAAACAGGAGTTACTATAAGTTGTTAGGAAACTAGAAATTATGTATATAGGGAATATTTTTCTAGTCAAAAGTCTCCTCTGAGACTCTGAAATAAATAGTCCTTCATAGAGAAAGTAATGTGAAAATAGTTGCTACACATGTTTAAAAGACAGGTCTAGGTTTCTTCCACTTCTTGGGCATCAACTTCTCCACTTCTCGCTATTTATTACTTTTCAACACCTTTTCCCCAGTGTACGAATGACAGCCAGTTTTATTTTACAGCAAAAGAACTGTATTTTTGCTGTCTTGTAAGGTGTAAGTGAGCTTCCCTTTTCACCTTGAACTAGTTTTAAGTGCTGCCACTTGTCTTCTGTTACTCAAAACAATATTATCAAGAGAAATTGTGCTGCTGCTTTTGTTTATATAGTAGTACTGTAATGGGAAAAGACTTTGTTCTTGGAACAATGAATACTGGTACACCAGAAATCCTGCTAATGATAGTGATTAATGGGTGCTGCTCAAAATAGCTATCACTGCTGATATGACTAATTGTGCTGTATGAAAAGAGCTCCTTTATTCTCAGTAATCTTAAGGTGTTTCTACAGTTTTGGAGAAATGCCTGATCTGTGCAGACAGATAAATGCACAGTGAAATGCGGAACTTGCAGTGAAGTATGGCAGTTCTTTAAGGGCTTGCTGCTGTGCTGCAAAACCACTTGGGGCTGAAAATGAAGACTATTTTCTTGTGGTTACTGTAGGTAGATAGAATATTATTACTGGAATTGGATGTTAGCCAGACCAACACCCTACGTGTTGCAAACAATGCCAGGGTATTGTTAGTAGCTACAGAAGGGGTTTTATATCATACATGAAAGATGACATTTCCAGCAGCATGGGTAACCTCATCACAAAACATTGTGGTGGGGCTGGCTCAGAGGGCAACTGACTCTGCTAGGACTGATAAAATCTACAGTGTAATAACGCTGGTCCTCCTAGAGCTTGGTGATAAGTCTGGATTAGTGTTTCTTAACCTTCACGGGCCTTTGAGTAGCAACTGTATTAGTAACATGCCATAGGTAGTCTTGTGCTCTGCAGAAACTGCAAATCTAAACCATAGAAGCTGCTGTTTCTTGGTATCTGTAAAAATCTGAAGTTCTGCCAGGTAGGATGAAAAAATATTTTTCAAGTTAAGCAGAATTTGTTAAAGATGGATTCCAAATTCACCAAGAAGGAGTTAGTAGTTGTGCTTTGTTGTGCCTCTGGCTTTGCCATGGGCTTCTTCTGTTCTGCTCTGTGTGTACCTCAGGATAATTTTATGGCAGGAGGGGTGCAGATGTTCATCCCTTCTGCCCCCAAATAAATTATTAAGGGATGGCTTGGAGTGGAGTAGAAGGCATTCGTTTAACAAATCATGTTTTGCGGGTTAATTGCTGATTTGGTGTGATACAATCCCAGTCTCCTGGTGTTCT